AAATCCTTACGGATCTTCATCTCACGTAAGCAGCTTCGTATACTTTGTGCACCACTCGTTATTGGTTGGTTCCTTTGTTGAAACATCTGTTTCTCTTATCTCAACTACTTTGCTACCTTCATGTATTGGAAATTAACCATACTTTGTGACCAGCTTCCTAGTTAATTATTGCTTTTACTTCTCTGAGGAAATCTGCTCCTCATATCGGTCTTGACAGGCTTGTGGTTACCACGAACGAGGAATTTATCTCAGCACCACTCACATTTACAGATTCATTTGGCGAAATGTAAAAACCATACTCCAATACCTCATTTGCAAAATGTCCATCAACTGTCCCAGACTTCATTTTCATAACAATCACTTTCTGTTCCCGTTCTTTCCTATTCGATCTTCGCGACCGGTTGCCAGGCCTTCTATTCCTGATTAGCGTTATATACTACTTATATCGACTTAAGTAGCATACACCACAACATAACTAAAATACAAGATTAGGACGAACCATTGCATAAAATTTAGGAGGCACAAAACTTCGGTATTTCCGATACCCAGTTGGTTTAAACAAAACAAAAACAACAAATGTAATTGGACAAAACGAGTTTATTTATTTCAAGGGCACACCAATAGCTTACAATCTAGAAACAAATAGTGTGCACAATTTATGCCATAATATCAGGAAAGTTCTCATCATTAGAGATCAATAAATCAACAACCAGTGTAGAGGAATGATTGAGTATTTCCATGTCAAACAGTATGAACGTTCTAGGAAAATCTCAAAACGCAAGGGAAGAGGTTACAGAAAAAAATTGGTATCAGAAGTTACCTACTAACAATTATAACAAGGATAGGTCAAAAAAAATTTAAGATGAGTAGAGCTGAGAAACAAGAATATTGGTAACAAATTTGCAGACCCAAACATAAAATAAAACTTTACGTAAATGAACCTTAGAGATTGAGGTCTTCAGGGTAGTGCAAGGCCGAAAATATCCTTTTAAGTGCCAAAATCCGATTTATGCCTCGTGATACTGATGGCTTCAGCAAAACCCAATAAGTTCGAGGCTTTTCTGCTCAGTAATAATTTTGAAGTATTAACGTCGTGTTCCTATCATCAACTAAGTGTTAGGCGCCTGTGAGAGAGCGTTGACATTTTGGACTAAATATCCGAGTTGATAAACAGATTATTATTTTAGCACATAGATATTGGTACAAAGAGGAACCAAATACATATGCGCCACACAAATTTCATTCGGTATGTGTGAAGGCTGTGATACTGCCCGGGTGTCCAAACCAAAGCAGGTGGTTTTCTTAAGGGGCCACTCCACGAGCCTTCGACCTGAAAGTCTGATCCACAAGGCAGCGGAGCATCGTAGGGAGATGCAGTCCCATGGAAGCCGGTGACCAACGATTGGTTCATACGCCATTTGTTCCCGCAGGATACTGGAGCCCATGTGCACCGATGGTTTGGAATCCGGTTAAAGGACCGGACATTCGCTTTTCGTCCTCTTATTTTCGTAAACAACACAACCGCCACGAGAAGGCAGTGAGTAGGACTTCCCTGACAGAGGCTATATACGCGTGGCCATGCGAAAGCATTTCGAGAGGGAGAGCGGACTTTCTCCACTCTCGGCCGTACCAGGGCATTTGGGGATTAGGTATAAATTATAAACGTTAAAATACATCTCAACACTTAATTTAGTGAGAAAATAACTGATGGTCGTTGCCACAAAAATATCACAAAATAGATATCTGAAGGAAACATTAAAATGTGTACAGACCAGTTTACTAGAGAGAGTCACTACCCAAGTTTCATGATTAGCTTTCCCCATATCTTAACTAAGAATATCTTATAATTGCTAATTCTTTGATTGGCGTATAAGTATTCGCTGGTGAATCTGCTTCCAGGAACATCTAAAAGCCTAGTATACTTACAGGGATTTAATGGTATTTTCTTGTATTTGACAATGAGATAATACAATCTTGGTCTATTTCCCTTAACTATGACCGGTATTGATATTTAACGTTAATAGGAAAATAATGCCCGCATTATTGTTCTAATGAGTGTTCTGTACGGCGGAATCCTAAAAATCCTAACAAATATTTGTAGAAAAACATAAAATCTTATGTGACATATGTTTAGCTTACGATTCATACCTGATGATCTAATTCCAGGGTATGAAGCTGAAATACATCCGAAATAATAAAACTAGTTTACATCAATTCGTATCAGATCAAACAAAAATGAGGTGACTAAGAAACTGCAGACAAAAATCGAGAACGGGAACTAAACAAGCTACTGTTAAGCGCATACAGTGCAGTCATCAGTAAAAATGTTAGATGTAAATCAGGTAAGATATATGTGCTAGATATTGATTCAAATTATCATATAACTACTGATTCCGGATACTGTTTGACTGAAGGAATACAAACAAATTAGCAAACAGACAATGCTTGTCTACTACGCACATCTTCAGTCAGTAATCAGCTGTTTCATGACGTCAAAATTATTTCGAATAATCTATCTTGAATTGAATCTCGTTTTTTTTTCTACAAGTAGACCCATAATTAACAACATATGAATAGGCGTGTGAGTATACCCAACCAATTAATGGCAATCATACACATAGTCTGGAAAACAGGTAAGATTTGAATATGATAGATGCTAAGTTACTAACAAGGTCATATGAACCCGATGAATGACACAATTCTGAACACAGATTTCCAGCCACATGTATTATGTGTATGTGTTTGCATTGTCGTTCAGTTTTAATTTCGAGAGCATCAACAACTTTCTGTTTTCGCACTGGCTTTCTGGGTGAATATTAGCCACATTTACAACCACTTTTGTCAGTGTCTAACGGTAGGATCTAAGGAACGTTTTCCTTTTATTTGGGAATGTTTGACTGAAATTACCCCTATCCCAGTATTGCTGCTCTTAACTGAACTCTATCTCGAATGGATTTATCTCCCTCCAAGGTTGTAAACATGAGTTTCGAAATATAAACAACAGCTATCCCTCAACCACTGACTTTACAACTTTTTACCCCAAAGATATTGATTTGGTGCAACGGTAATTGAACTAACAACTAGTGAAACACTTTACTTACGCACTACAAACTTCAATGAACCACAATCGACAAGAAGGACGGTCTCGACAAATGATTTACTATGATCTGAATAAGCTGACATGTTTACCATGTAACTTTTTATAAAAGTCGATATTAGACGTCTAAATCATGACAACTGATTTCCAGTCATAATATATACAGGGTGATTCTCAACAGATAAGGACTACTCTGAAATCTGATAGTATATATCCACCTACCACAAACCTATACTACGTTTCAATCTTGTAAATGTATTCGAACAAACAAAATTATAATTCTTTTCTAAAATAATTCGAGTTTTCAGGTTAAAGTCCCTTACCGCAGTACTATAATCTTAACTAAACTTAAGTTTGATGCGGAAAATCTTAGACTGATTCTAGATTTAAATAGAAAATATATTCCATGTTCGGGTGCCAGTAGCTCTAAGTAATAAGCATTCATTTGAAGAAAAAAACACCACTTCGAAATCAATATACTCGATCCCTTTAAATAACTTCCGCGAATAATTCAATGTTAAATCTCAATGACTATAACACTATTAGGCACAATTAAGGGGTATGTGCGGCGTTTGATATATTCTCAGTAAGCAAATATTGACTATTATCAAGTTGGATAACATCACGTATTTGCAGACAACAGCTTTCATAAATCAAAATTGATAACAGACTTAATGTTAGACAATAAATGTTTAGATAACAACCAGACGGCCTCTTCATTGTATTGCATAACATTTGAAACCAACATTCTCAAGGATTATGATTCATATAGCAAAAAGATATCAAGGATACCACTAATTTCTATTATTTACATTGTTTGCTTAAATAACTTAAGATTGGCGAATGCACCTGTACCTATCCATGTATTAGTTACTAAAGAAGTTTTAATAACCTTAGTAATCTAACATTGCAGATTGGGTCAAAAATTCCACCTAGTGGGATAAAAAACACACATCTTAAATTTTGATGGAAATAATACATTTGTATAGAACTATATTATAGATAGCCCAATTATCAATGGATAAGTAGGCGACAAGGCCTAATTGTTGGAACGATCGGTACTTCAGTGAGGTTCTAAGCGTTCAAAGATCCTCTATGTCTGAGGTAATTTACACAATTACTGATATCATTACTTCTTGAACCCTCTAAGTATGGTTGTTATAACTAAAAACTGTCAAGTGGTATCTTTTTCCTGAGAAATACTATCTCCAACTGAACTATCCCTAGCCAAAGATAAAATCCAAGCTATTGGAATTTCTTCGAACATTTTTCAATCTACCTAACTACCACTGACAAAGTATTGACTCAGTCTATTACAATACAATAAGTCAAAAAGTGAACTAGAAGAAATAATAAAGTAAACCAAACCAAACACGAAACCAGTTATTTACGAGCTACACTGGCACGCGTTATCGATAAAATAAATACTCCTCATCTTTCAGATTACAATCAGGACCCCTACTATTTTTAATAAGCTCAAACCAACAGTAACTTAATGATTTTCTGTCATATGATTTATACCACAGATTGACTACATTTAGACAACCATTGAAAACTAAGAAGCACCAGATTGATATTTAGTTTTACTACGGGGCTCCTTAGAAATGTGCATTTACAAACCCACCATAGATCAAACCCAAAGGCTTCAGGTTGCATAGTTATAACTTAGCCTTTACATTATTCCGTCGGCATTTGATAGTTAACATTTCCAAATTTAATCGATTCTCCATACTTCCCAACCATCGTCCAATACCATTAGTGGGTAACTGCCTCCCGCCTCATATGATTAAACTCCACTGGTTATAGTTTCTCACTAAAACTATATCATGTGCTTATTCGACCATAAATTTATTTCGCTTTCCCTAATTTAGTTGCTGCCACGTGAGACATAAAACAAAGCCACTAAAATATATATGCTTTTTCTCATTTGTTTATCCAATTTCAATAAAAAAACCCGAACACTGACAGATTCAAGTTGCACAAGCTTAAAATTACAGATACAAACATATGCAAACTAACCGGCCCTAATAATAATTTAAGTACACGATAAATCGTAAAGTAATTCTGGGTTGACATATTAAAGTAACTCTTCAGTAGTGGTCTCAAACTCGAAATAACTATTTTAAGAAAAAGAATAGTGCAGTTTTATGCATCAACTTATTTGGAATTGTAACATGAATTATGTTGGTTTTTAGGGTTTTCTGGTGATGTCTGAAACATTTTAAATATTAACTGTTTAAGCTGTGAGTGTCGCATGTTTGGATTTTCAGCTTTCAGCTGCGGCATCAAACGCTCTTCAAATGCCTGATAAGCAGCTTTTAAACGTTTCTCTGGATGTCGATCACCATCACCTTCACCGTTAAAACTAGACGAAAAGAAACGAGGTAAAAAAAGGAATGTTAACTTTTATGAAAATAAGAAGCAGAAGGCAAATAAGCTTCGGTAATTGTGTACGCATATTTAATTTGATTGTTTTAAGACTATCGCCTGAAAGCCTTGAATCTATGTTTTATGCTCCTTCGTAATCACCGAGATTTCTTAAAATCAACCTGTGTACATTTTAATTAATGAATTTACTTATTTAAGCACAAATATTGGTACAAAGGGGCATCGAAATATATATATATGATTGTGAAGATAATGATCAGCATAATAGGAAAAGAATAATGGACAGGAATTAATGTATGGGAGTGGAAGGAACTTCATATCACGGTACCATGTACACCGACCACCTCTAAACTTTTTCCAACCAGTCGAAGAGTTGAAAAACAACGAACAATGTGGAATTTGTTAAGACGACGTTTGAGCCACAGAAATTGGTGTTTTGAGATGATGAAGTCACCACTGTGACCGGACCATCCCACTACCAACATGGTGTTACTACTGAATGTCATTAATACTTCCGAGACAATGATGATTGCTTCATATCATCAAATCGGAGAGGTCGGGTTTCACAAGCACAGAGCGAAACTGCCCTCACCGATGCGTTACAAACTCAATCTCTAACAACCACACTGACATGGTGTCCAAGATGGGCCAGATTAGTAAAAGCCACTCTGGCTTCCATTATACGTAAGTTTATCCCATCGCTCACGTCACCACCAGCACTTAAACAGCTACTTAGATACACGAACCTCTCAACTACTTGCGACGGTTTAATACTAAGAGTGGGTGTAGGTACAGAGTTTTGTATAAGTACATTACACCCTAACCAAATGCTAGTACACCTGTTTACTAAACTTTGGGCTATATGTATAGCTTGGAGGATAGTAGTAGTACTACTACAACTACTTAGTTTCCAAAACAAAGGGAGGTAGATTGGGCTCTGAGCTATGTTCAATCGAATAATATAGTTTGTGCCAATTATAAGAATTAAAATTGTGGTATTTACCACAATAAATAAGTCATTTCAATTTACATTGATGCTTTTAGGATTGAATTCAATGAGATATTGTAACTTTCGCATAGGTTGTAATCATAATAGGTTTTATTGATGGATATAATTTAACTAGTTACAAGAAATAGAGAGGTGATTTAAATACATGGTGAAAGTGGGTTGTATACACTGTTTGACCTGATATATTAAGATAGGCACTAAATTAAACTTGCAACGCGTTCAGATGAATACACCTATAAGGAAAAATGAAATTTATCCGAGCAGAAGCTTACTAAGCGTTATGTAAGTACCACTTTTTGCAATCATAATGCTCAATTGACTAATACGAAGCCGGTAGTTTAAAAACTACAAGAAAGAAGTGGACAATTTAATAAACTGCCAAATAATTAATCATTCTGGTAATGACAACTACCTGCCGCATAAAGAGACTACTAATAAACTGCTATCATCACCACTTAATTAAAAAAAAATACACTGTACAGACACAATAGTTGATAACTCATGCAGTTTTTATTCTTGCTACATTTCACCATACAATATCATCCATGTAGACTTTCTACTTGCTACACACGATGAAAAATCTTACCCATAATTTTATGATATCAATACTGACTATCCATACGGAGGATCTAACACTGGTTGAAAACATTCTAAAGATAAACATAATCGGTCAATCAGTTCTAGTTTCTTTACTGAAACAGTACACAAGGAATAAAAGATGTTCTGAGATGGATTGGAGAAAACAAGGAATGAGTGCCTCCAAGATTCCGCAAACAAATTTGAACCATGTATGTTTTTCCTATACCTATATCAAACATCACGTGAGTCAGTTAGCTAAGAAATCGATTGGGCAACACATCAAAAATCGTTCCCACCAAGTAATTCTACAAGACACCATCCAATCTCCGAAAGTCATTGGAGAAGACTCACAGAACAATAAACCGATTAAATCTGTGTTCAGCTTTAAATTGCATTGATGACCTGAAAATACTAATAGTGATAGCACAATCGTGGGACACTCTATATATGAGGTTTGATAAAACGTCATTCACTTGAGGTATCAAACGAATACCTTAGTATGGTGATAGCTTCTTCAACGGTACGAGCTTCTAAACCATCTTTCTCGGTTCGGTTTGGGTTAGGAGTCAATTCTGCAGGCTCAGATTTCTGAGTAGTTTGGTTTAAAGCTGATAGCTGAGCCTGTAGTTTTTTTTGAGCTTCAGCAATTTGCGCTTGTGTAAGCTTTGACGGTTGTTCTTTAGTGACTGTGGATTTAGATGACTTGAAACCAGCGATTTCATCATTATATAGTTTTTCTTTTTCCTTTTTTCTCTCCATTAACTCCAGACGCTTTGAGTCTTTTTCTTCCTGTAGTGTACATTACATGAACTAAAAGCTCACTTTCCGTTGTTGTTTCTTATTCAAATGTTTGTCATCATCTCTCCAATACTCATCCTCAGCCTTTTTTAGTGTGATTTCTCGCTCTTCTCGCTTCTTTTCGGCCCGTCTTTCTCGAGCCTCCAATGATTTCGGACATGTCCCGAGTTTCTTCGGCATGTAGTGGGTCCTCTAGTCGTCAATGAGCGCAAATTTCGTCGAGAAATCTAATAACTCAGTACAGTAATCTGGAAATACAAGAAGAAATGTAACCAATTGTCTTTTATATCTGATTTATAAAGCAGAAAAATCGGAATATACATTGAAATTTGATCATGGTTAAATCTAGGTTGAGGTGTCTAAAACATAGAGGCTAACTTACATCTTGTAATAATATAAGTTGACAACAACTAATAATAATGTGAATTTAACGCCAAAAATTAGACTCGTAAACAGCGCTGCTTCTTTTCTAATGTCCAATCCTTTTATTTGGAGGCATTCATCGGTACCTGCCAAATATCAAACAATTTGGACAGATTGTAGTGGCACTGGATCCTAACTATAATCCTCAAAGTGGAGTACGAGACAGTTGAGAGAGTAGATATTCAACATTTAACTTGAAGTAAAACTCAATGATTAAGAAGTCGGGAAGAATAAATTCAATTCAGATTCAGATTTGTGTAGTAAGGAGAGAAGGCCTACGGCCTATGTTATTCCTTTTCTAGTATGCTTCTGTGAGTGTCCAGTCTTCTCCTGAAAGAGTCAACTGAAGGTGCGGACACCACTGCTTCAGGCAGCAGGTTCCAAGTATTGATGACTCGGTGTGAAAACCTGTATGCCACGGGTATTTTGTTCGTTCTTGGCTTTTATACTCGCCTGCTATGTCCTCTGAGGTGTCCCGATCTAGTGGGAAGAAAGAGAGAATAAGTTAGGTCCGAAATCATTTCTCAGTATTCTGTACATCAATATTAGATCTCCCCTTAGTCTGCGATAGGACAGAGTAAAGAGGTTCAGTTTTTCAAGCCGCTCGTTATATGATAAACCTCGGAGTTCCGGAAATTGATTGATTGGATGGCATGGCTTGAGCTTGCAGGTGTGGTCATACTTGTGCGACGTAACTTTTATCCATATTACATATATTGTTCTCTATCCAGCCTAAATGAGTTCTTCATCATGTATTGATTATTATTACAATACGATTAGTCAAGGTAGACAAGGATGTGAATTTCACATAAAATGTTAAAGGTTAGGCAGTTGCATCACGACAAATCTATAATTTTAGGATTAAGTCTTATTGGAGCAGTTCAAATATAGAAGTAGACCATAATTCTCCAAGTTCTCCAAGTAATTTTAAAGCTCTAAACTATCCCATTTACTTCATATTGCTCTCCATATCTTGATATCCTCAGCATATAACAAAACCTGTGATGATAAGAGACTGAGAATGTCATTTGCATACAAGAGAACTAGCAGTGACTTTGAGACACTCTGCTAAGCATAGTTTCGCATTTAGACAACTTCGAGTTCATCCATACTCTTTGTTGACACCCAACTAGGAAGTCCTTTGTCTGTATTAACAAATTGCCCCCAATCCTAATATTACTTGACTTATATCACAGCCGGTTGTGAAGGATTTCGTCAAGGGCCTTGCTGAAATCAATTCAGGCTATAAACAGCGTTTTATATTTAAGAGCGCACTAACTTTCACAGGCTACTCATGAGTTTGCGAGACATGAGTAACTTGTTCTAAAGCCATACTGCTTTTCAGGAAGAATCTAGTTCTCGTCAAGATACTTGAGCAACTCCTTCTGAATACTCTTTTCTAACATTTTAACAACCACTATGATTAGGCTTACTAGTCGAAAGTTCTCAGGTTTATGTCTCTTGCCTGTTTTAAAGGTAGGACTTACTATGGCATTACTCTGGTCTTTTAGTGATCGACCCTGGGTTACAGACAGTCTTAAAAAATAGTCTTAAAAGTTTCGCGACAAAACTGGCTAGTTCCTCTATTAACTCAGGATGCAGTTCATCAGGTCCCATGGATTTGCCTATATCAAGCCCATTTAGAAGACCAAAGCCACCGAGTTCCTCAACTATCACAGCGTCCAATATGTGCATGGGGGGTTTATATGAACTGAAAGGGAGGACATTACTACGATATATACATTGCTGAAGCAATTCTAGAATACCCAAGTTTTACCACAACTATCCTCCACTAGTGTGGGAACTCGAGTTCTGTTGACCAATCTACTGAGGATCCTGAACGTATAGTGTCGTATTTATTTGATTTTCACTTGTCTGATTTGGCTTGAACTGACATGTGCTTGTTACTGACAACTACATGGAAATAATAGACCAGAACCGCATGGTCGCTTTTACCTAGGGGTGGCATATAATGGAGGTTTGTGACGTCATCATTATAATGGGTCAATGTAAGATCTAGTTGGACCTAGTTGCTTTTTCACATGTTGCACTAGGTAAAATGTAGTAATCGTATTAACTAGTTTCAGCTCGAAAGAATTTTTTGACCATTCAATCCTCAGATTACTCCAGTCTACCGTATTTGCATTAAAGTCTCCTAAGACTAAAAATCGACCACTTGATGACAAAGTGTTGAAACCGCACAGCAAAACCTCGTTCATTTCATAGTTTAGGATGAGGTGGACCAAACCAATCAGTAGCTCTTGCTTTTTGCGGAAACTGACTATTTCGCATGTCCTATTCTCATGAGATTTGTCATCAATAACAGTAAATAGGACAGTATTTCTAATGAATAGAACCACTACTTCTTTTGAGCATGTGTATTCTATCGGCTTTTGCCAATATGAAACTCGAAAAAATTTTCTACTGTCTACAAACCGTATCAGTCAATTTTCTGTGACTGTGATTACACCCGGTCAGGTAGAGTCTATCTGCACATCCATCTCCGATCACCTGTTGAGCATGCTCAGAACATTTGTATAACATGCTCAAAATCTACTTAAATGGCTTCGTTCTGCTTCGAGAGTGACTTTGGCATCATTCTCTGCCAATATTCAAAACATTTGTCACAAACCTTCCTAAACCGACTGACTTCTTTGCGCACGCCCCTCGTTGTTTTTTGGTACGATTCTAGGAATTGGATAATATCCAACAGGTAGTAGTCTGGCCACTCAACTGTATTAATCCTAATAAGTTCGGTGATTATTTGTAAATTTGAACAGTTTGCAATTCAAGTGAGTGAGTTTGTCTCAGAGCAGAAGGGTTTCTGGACATCAGGGGTTGTCACATTACCAGGTAGGATTTTGGTTTGTTGCAATTCAAAAATATTAAAGTAACAATGCCAATACTGGCCGTAGACGATTGTTTCAAGAATAAGTAAAAAATTTCTTGTTTGATAATGTGTGAGAAGATGGAATTGAGGAAACAAAAAGGGAAATGAAGATGATATTATAGAATCCAAACTACGGTTTGGATGTTGAAGAATAACCGTCCAGGTACTTTAGACACGCGCCCTTTCCCGTCGAAATCAAAACAAGTAATCGGGTAAATAGCGGTTCTATAATTCATCATAAATTTAAATGTAAATCGTTACCTAAACAAATATTACCACCCGGCTATTCAACCAATAATTGTTCAATCAATAAATCAGTCACAACAAATGAACGTTATTCTATCCTGACTGGATAGAACACACAAAAGGAGGGGCAAATCAATATGGCTACCGCCAAGAACAAGTGTCCAGTAAAACAACACAGATGCAGTTCGGGAAGAAACACAAACTTAGTGAATGCGTAAGAAAAACAAAAACTATAATAAAAAATACAAGTATTAACAATTCAAATGTAATCAAAAGACAACAATGTACAACTAAGGGGATCAATAGGAACAAAGCACAAGTATATACATGGAGGGATTTTCACCAACACACAAAACATTCAAAATGGATCTTACAAATATTAAGGCGGACAGAAAGTAATTACTGGTCTGCGTTAATAATAATGGTAGGTAAACTATGAGACATGCATCATGTGTAGCTGGTTCAAGCTAGAGAATGTAACCCATTGGAACGTCCTTGTTCGTCTCTTGTTATTTCTTCTAGTAGATTATGATTTTTCTTTCTTCTGATGTTCACGTCCACAAAATGCAATCAGGGACTTTTCTTATAGCTACATCTCTTCTTTACTGATATGGATTTAGCTAAACTAGCTGGTAGATCATTCCTGGTAACAAATGTGAACAAACGGTCTGACCTGAATGTCTCCATTTTAAACTTTCATTATACAGCAGTTCATTCCTATATCGCCTTAGTGGCTAAGAGATACACAACTCCATTAAGTAGAAAAATATGAGTATGGTATATAAAATAGACATGTTCGATCCACACAGCCGGATGGTCACTTTAGAACACAAAATCTGACAGATCATGTGACAGTCAAAGGCATAATATCAATTTACTTGTTTAACTCGTGTTTGACCATGTGGTTGGTTAGAACTGCCGTATCTGAATCCTTTTAACAGGTCTGTGTTTGGTTGCCCGTATATCTATCTGTTAATCATATTTCATTATTATACTGATTAACAAATATGTGAAAATAAATCCCCAAGATAAACTGTTCTGTAACTCTCCGACATTCATGCTGACCTCGGTAATTGTGCTGAGCACACGCTAGCTGAAGACACTCGATCAAGTGTCCAAACCAGATCGTCGTTGTCCGCACCGTGCTACAGTCCTCTCGCAACAACTACCTAACTGCTCAATAAACTGACTATCGAATACACTTCGTACTCTCTCTTTCCTGACCTCTGGTTTGATTAGGTTCAACATCCTCAGTCTTCTTCGTCTAGGCTTTTATCATGTGACCCTGACTACAGACTTGACTTTTGCTACCAAATATTTCTGTTGCATGTTACCGGACAATTGGCAATGAATTCGTATCTGACTAGCTCAAAGTCACGGTAAGGTTTAGTGCGTGACTGTCAACATTTGACTGTGTGCTTGGCAAGATTGCTGAAATTCCTGCAGATAGGTATCTGGTCCCGTCTTGTTGGGGATATTTTATTGATTCTCAGGTATTGAACTCTTGTGTATTAACTATTTCTTTTGTTGCTTAGCACGCTGATTTGTGTTAGAGCAACCCTTGACTGTATAGCACAGCTGTACCGTTTAAGGTATTCTCCTTCTTAAATTAGAACCGTTCAAACTGAACACAGAATATATGTTTTGGCATGATTTATTACGAGAAACCTAGAAACGCCTCGTTCGCTATGCATAATAACGTAGAGTAGTCTAATCGAATAAGTTCTGATTCATTAGTTTGTCGTGATATTGGTCCTAACCATACAATCCTCAAAGTTGGACGTGACATAACTGGGAAAATTCAAACTTAACAATTAGCATGAACAGAAGCTCAACAATGTAGAGATCAATAGGGTGACAGTCACGTGGAAGTCACATCATTTTTTTACACTCGCTCGTCCTATCGTGATAATCAGAGATGTGACAACTAGCACTTCTGAAGAATAAATTCGAGTCGGGAGAGAGGAATATATTTGATACGACAGGTGAAGGGATGTGATCAAGCATCCATAGTCGTGCTATTACATTCTATCGGTTGTAACCACGTTTAGCATTGTTTACCTCCTGGTAATAATAACAATAATATATTTCTGCAATGGCAGGTACACGCCATTTTTACAGGTATGATCGATAAATTACAACGTTTATTGGGCCACAGTATGCATGTTAAATAAGTATAATCTATAAAAGTGAATATCGGTTCATTCCCTCAGATATACTGACTAGTCTTCAAAATATTACCCAAAATGGCATTGCGTCCACGTTACACACCAGACCCAATCTCCACATTATTGTGTTAGGATTTCGGTCGTGCTAAGTATTTATGCAATACAACGTTTTAAGATTATAGTTGTTATGAAGTAGAATTGCAGAGCGCTTGGTGTGAACTATGACCTTGGGAAAACACGGACGTCTAGTTCGTTCCAGATGTCAGAAGTTCCACAGCTGTGCCCTCAGAGCAAGATCCTGAAAAAAGGAGAAACCGAGGAGCAGCGAGGCACTTGGATGTGAACGATAAACAATACTTAACATTTTGTGGTGGAGCAGACAGAGGTATGATAAATTATAAGATTAACTTCGTACTAGCCTGCCACACAGTCTTAATGTAAAAGTCCGAGTTAGCATGTTATGGGTTGTCTTAGTAGACTAGCTAATCGAGTATAAAATTGGAAACATGAGTCTGAGTTGTGAGCGTAGCAGAACAACCTTAGATTGACTGACTTGTCCCCAAACATGAAGAACCCGATACAAACAAATATTTTTCCCCACAAATATGGGTGGATTGAAGTCATCGCCCTCACCTTCAATGCTTGCTGGTCAGCAACTCCACCCTCCCTCCTTTTGTGATGTTAGGTTCATTTAAGCTTTTCTTGGTTATATATCATACCTCACACAATGCTCTGTGTTTTACATCCTGTTGGAAAACACTATTTCTATAACTACCATTTTACAAGCTTATCAGGCAGTCACAAGTAGTGGACTGTTGTCAAGTCATCGAAGCAATGCTTTAATTGACTATAGTATAAAGCACAACTTGCCGATCAGAGTGTAGATTTTAGGAATGGTATATTGTAGGGTAGTTGTTTGCCAAAATAGGCGGAAAAATATAGAAATATATGAGTTATAGATAAGGTAACGTATGTTGAGATAATATTCATGGCGAGTCAACATAGTGTACCGCAGAGTAAAAATCTGATAAAGAATAGACAAGAAGAAACTCAAATTAACCTAACGTCGATGTTATTTCGTTCTATCCTAACCGGTTGATGGGTAACAGATTCCGCAGGTGCAAGGCCACTGTGGTAGTAGGCAGTTGATTGTGCGGTTCCTTTGACTTTTTAGGGTAGTAGTGAGAGTCTCTTAGCGACCGAAAAGCGATAGGTCCGGTGTGTTACCCGTCTACTTTAAGAAAAATAATTAGGGTGGAAAAATTATCTAATACAACTACAAAGTAGGAAAATAAGGCAATTCGGTCTATTCATTGGGAGAGCTTATAATATCTAAGTGGGACGCAGATGTGCTCGTTTGTGCTAGATCTGTGCAGGTCAGGACTTGATCAGTAAGTCTTACAAACGTATGTAATTCTCTTGCCATGCATATTTCATAGGGAAGACTGTTCAGTATTAATGCATACTTAATGAGGAAGAAGTCTTCCCGAGTTATTGACCTGTATTTCTCAACTTTGACATTGAATACTTTGTCTCGAAGGGCGTATTCATGTGTGTCTTGGGCAAGAGCTATATTAAATGTGGAATAAGTAAGGTTTTTGAGGGGTTTGAAGTAGGGAATCAAATTAGACATAAGCCTTTTCTCCCAACAAAGTGCTATTCCTAAGATTTGGCATCGGGAACTGTTGTCAATGACTCGGTCAGTCTCGTTGCATTACTACCAACTTGGGTATATCAGATAGGCGTAGGTTGGAAAATAAGAACGAGCAGTATTCAATGATAGATCTTTTACCAACTTCATAAAGAAGGATTTTAGATTAATTTTGATAGAAATTGCGGAGAATGAAGCCAAGCAATTTGCGCATTTCAGATGCTTTGGCTGAGGTGTGTCCAGCGAAAGTAAGGCTGTATGAGTAATTTACCACTAGGTCAGTTACTGATGCCAGTCTGGGCAGTGTGTGGTTGTTAAGTGTCAGTTTTATTTTAAGAGACGTGTCTTCTGTACATGACCAGCCGCATTTCTCTGTAAAGAGCTCTAACCTCCAGCGTTTGAACCAGTCGTCTACCGTGTTGAGTTTGTAGTGACTTAATTTTATCAAGAGAACGCGATTGGTTTAATGGAATCAATTATTATTATAACCAATCGTACCAGTTGGAGATGCCACAAGTATTCAGTGTTTGACAACGCTTTAACCAATACACCTAATATAACTCGTACCCATCAAGTGAAATCAAAAAACAGATTGGAAGATATATTTGATGACTATCAATATATCGAGAATCGTCTGATCTAATCTTGCTAGCGATTGCAGTGGATGTTGAGCACGGCGTTCTCACTCGTGATCTGGTGCGGATGCATGACCGAGCGCCTTCAGCTAGGTGAGTCCATTAAAACATGTGGTCAGCATCCAACGTCGAAAACTTACAGAGCTATTTATTTTGGGGATTTATTTGCCGCTACATTACAAATACAACAGAAAAATTGCGACTTTGCTTAACTTCACAAAGTTGATGCGTGTTCGGATTGGGTCTGGTACCGATAATCCACAATTATAAATGTCCGGTAATTGCGCTCAGGTTGTTGGAATCTCCAACGTTAGGTATGATATATTCCGACTCACAGTCTATAAATGCAGATAAAGTTTGATTTAGAATGCAGTTAGCTCAATCACAAGCGAAAGTAGAACAAGGTATGTGTGCATAGCAATGTATTTGTTAGCAAGCAACAGTATTTTACGCTATGTCAGTGACACAACGGAAAGTGTGTTCACGGTCATCCACTTAAACAACACGTACAGTCATTTAATGACAAATGTACATACAGTGAAAAATTGACAAAATAAATACAAATAACAATCAAAACTATTTACAAAATAAGCTTTTCAGGTCTATCTCTACAGGACTTTTCGAATCCCAACAACATTGAGAGTGGTTAGTCCTTGTAATAGTCCTCAATCATTTCTGTCGTTTACTCATAATTCATACTTTCGTGTACTTAAGAAACAAAAGCAATAGTTGATCTTTTCTAATAAATCAGGCGTGGGTCACATGGATACAGTATTTTGCTACATCGATTTAAGTAATTTTTAGGGTTTTTATTCATGTTAATTAGAAAATAATTGTCCCACTAATGAATTATTGAAGCCACACATTCCTTTCGGGTTACGGCATGGTTTTCAGTTTGTGGACGATATACCTTACAAGCCTTATTTACATAAGAAACCAGATATCATCCTCGTTTTAATGTATTTGTATTCAGCGCTAGGTTTCGTTAGCTTTTTCGGCGCTAATGTCTGCTGCAGTCCGTAGGTTAAAAAAGGTTAGATGTGGGTGTGTTACTTACTTTCATCATTAGTTAGACTCCCCACTTAGTGTCTATTTTTTTGTTTTCATGGTGTCTTTTCCAAGCTACTCAATGACGTTCATCTTCTAGTCGCACTGCTAATTATTCACTTGAAAATCATTTACACTATTTGCATCCATTGTTCACGAGTAAAAAATATAAATTTGGATTTCTTAGCTAACGCTGTAGTTACTAATCTCCATCATAAAGATAATAATTTTGTTTTATGGTGTAAATTCGGTATTATTCTAGACTTCTTTAAATTGTTTGGTTAGTATTGCACCACAATGTGTTTGTCATTAATTTTATACCTATTCATAAAACCTTATGTAAGTGTAGAGTCACATCTTAAACTGGTCGAAAGCAAACAATTCTCGCCTTGTGTTTTTAAAAGTGAGGGACACTGAACACCTGGTTAGTTTGAGAAGAAGATATGAATGAAGATGTACTAAAACTTAAGATCTTGGGAATACTAATTTTTGTGTGTATCTGCACCACTTTAGTCAAGTCTGAATCTTATCACTCAGCGTCTAGATTCACTAGTGGTGGTTATCTCTAGGAATGCGAGCCGGTAGTTTGGGTTTGCCAGCACGATCCAAATCGACGGACGGTAGTTTTTCTGTTGTACATGGATCCAGGTACGCCTAGCTTTCCTATAACCCACTTTAGCCACCACTCGGTTACTAAATTACATTAAATTCAAGTGGCTAATTATAGTGCTTGCTAGGTACGATATTAACCCGACCGTTGCTGCTACCTTGATGTGGTGTCGGGCTTGCTTATTGTAATGAACCAACCGAGCTATGCTGGCTAGAACAATCGTTCCTCAAGGTCATACTATACCAGACAGGTCGGTTGAAGAACGGTAAAACTGAAAGCAGCATACCTAAGACTGAGTGCGAATTCGTACTGTGAACTGTAGAGGTGCGACGGAAGTAGGATATTTCCTTCAGACAACCAGCATGACAGCGATGCTGCCTTTCCACAAGGAGGGGTGAGGTTAGAAAAGGTCGACCCTAAGACTGCACACCTCACCTTATCCCACGGATATCCGTCTCCGGCAGTAAGGTCTCAACAAGTATGGAGCTAACAAAAAATTACTCACAAAAAGGTCGTATGTGATCGGCTTCAAGCAGTTGTCCCTTGGGCACTGTGGTCACGCTCTCAGGTCACTAAAACCACCTCTAACCCAATTTTATTTTCAGGTATTTTTGAGAGAACCCTTCTACGGCGCGGGCGACCGTGGTGTGATAACCGCCGTCACACTTTTAACAGCACTCAAGATCGATGATTTGGGTCGGCTCATTCTCTTGCCAGGGTGAGAATCCTTCCAGTTATTTAGTGAATCACCAAGTAACTACATTGAAGAGTCAAGAGACGTGATGTTATTGGAAATTTGACTCTTAATGACAGTCTGTAGTTTTTATACAATAATCGTTACTCAAAAAGTATTAGGTTCTTCCGTTTTCTTTTTTCCAAATTCTGTTTGTTTGGGGTGTTACAGGAATATGAAACTCTTATCAACTCAAGCATCAAAAATGTGATTAGAAATGTAACATATGATGAACCGAACTTCCTAACATGGACTGGATTCATAGTTTTGGTAAGCATAGTTTTCGACGTAAACAATTTCACGATTTAAGATAAATATGACATTAGTTAAGTTGCCTTTAGCAACAAATGATGGTGAATTTGTTGTATTCCAATTTCATTAGAGTTTAAAGTGTGCGTAAATGCTATTCTAGGAGACTTAAAATATATTCACACTATTTGCTCATTTCTTATGTTAAGCGTGTTTAGCTGTCAGTTATGTTAACATATTTGAGGCTATCAGTTTGTTCGCAAATTATGCGTACTTGTATGATGAAGAAAGTTATAATGTAATTTTTACGTCTAAACATGCATTTGACAAATGATTTTCCACATCCCATACCAAGAAAGTATGCAATATAAAGTAATTTCATTCTCAATATAGCAGCGACTGATCTATGAAGTCTTACTATAGATTTTTTGTGTTAGGCATTTATTATTATTTGAATACTTAAATATTTGTACAAAAGAGCACCGAATACAATACGCCACACAGTTCACTTGTTTTGTGTGTGGGCTGTGATACTCTTCGGATGCCCAGACTGAAGCAGGCGGTTTTCTTAGGAGGCTACACCCGAAACCTTCGACCTAAAGGTCTTATCCACAAGGCAGTAGAGCAACGTAAGGAGGTGCAGTCCTATGGTAAAAGGGTGCTCAGCGATTGGTTCATACGCCATTTGTTCCTTCAGGATACTGCAGCTCATGTGCACCATTGGTTTGGAATCAGGGTTTTCTAACTCCCCTAGGTAACTCTCTGTGTCCACCAATCAGGTTAAAGCGCTGAGCATTCGCTTTTCGTCCTCTCAAATGCATAAACAACACCCTCGTCACAAAGATGCAGTGAGTAGGATATTAACGCGATATACATCTACTACTTATAATGACGTATACATACATATATCATTAAACGTCTACTTTGTGGTACTTACAATTACCCTACACATAATAATCGTTAGAGCTACATACTTTTATTAGTTTTATGTATTGATACACTTGGTCACACCGATGACTTACGTGGAGTTATAGCTAAGCTAACCAATATTCATTGTGTTAGGGTTGGTTTTTCAGATGTTGGGACAAAGTTATTTAGAAAAAACCTCATGTAAAATCGTTACCAGCCTGCACGTTGCACTTAACAAACATAACATAAAAGTCTAGTGCCTCCGGAATGAATCGTCCGTAAAATAAACAATGAAAAATATGTTTACATAAATAAGGTATCGTGTTTTTATATTTATTGTGATTTAGGACGAACCTCCCTATAATAAGGGTGCTTTCAAAATTGAAATCACTTTTCCTGTTGAATATCCTTTCAAACCTCCTAAGGTGATATTTAAAACACGCATATATCATCCAAATATTGATGAGAAAGGTCAAATATGCTTACCAATAATTAACCCGGAAAACTGGAAACCTGCTACTAAAGTAGAACACGGTAAGTTTTGATAATTGTATGTGAATGCTCAGGAAATATTCAGTTTCGTGTAGAAATGGTAAGGTCTTTTTATGCACAATATTTCATTGCGTTTTCTGCAAATAAATTTAATCTATCTCCTTATAGTTCAGATATTTTCCATGTTTATTATGGGCTGTGTAAAATACGTAAATATTCCATTCTAGAATTGTCACATAACTGTTACCTAAATTCACTTTTAAGTAGTCTTCATACTAGCTTGAGATTCATGCACCTTATTCAATGTATTTTTAAGTAAGATGCATTTTTGAGTATAGCACAACCATTACTCTACAGCTCATTCATAAACGCAAGAAGTTTTTCGTGCTCAAATTGGTTTGCAGTGTTTTGGCTTAACATTCGTGGTCAGTGCTATCAGATTTTAGAACTGTATTCTGTATGATTTCCTGAAAAGATTCACTTAAGACATTTCATTCGATTAATAAAACTTAGTCATTGGTTTATTACCAAGATTCACTGTCTAGAAATTTAGTATATAATACACAAATCTTAAAAAGCAACAAAATTCCCCACGGTCATTGCAATTATTTCCACTGGTGCATCTGTTGCTTATTGTTTTGTATATTTAATCTTAAATATTTGATCAAGGAGGTGTTATTTTTCACTCTAGGTTGTTTTTTATCTGCACTATCTAGTACATGCAATAACTACATATGACTGATGAGTCGAATTTATGTAATGTTTTGGCTAGAATTAGAAAGTAAGTTATCATCATTTTTAAGACTCATCAATTATGAGTCCTGTTACGGTCATATGAAGTGTAGGTTTACACAGTAAATTAATCGATACTTGACTGTTATGTTCAAACATTGCTTCATTTTCATTTGAGGAAGTAAGTTGTTGTTCGTAGCTTCACTGCACTCGTGAATTTTGGCTTAAACACATAAAGATGTACTTGGAATAAATTAAACTTCAAAAATCTAGGTCATTAATGTGTCCGATTTAAGTCTGATATATTTTATTTTTAAATTGTTGTGTTCGGAAAATGATTTTAAGATTCACTTTAAGTCTTCAGTCTTATCACATTCGATTTAAAAATTGCTTGAGAACGCTTACTGGGTGTTCACTTTATTTACAGTTATTCAAGCACTTGTTGCAATGCTTCACGCACCGGAAGTTGAACATGCTCTACGTTCAGATTTAGCTGAAGAATATGCTAAGGATCAAAAGAAATTCTTCAAAAATGCTGAAGAGTTTACACGGAAATATGCGGAGAAAATTCCAAATTTGTAAATTTTGTAATAACTATTACAAATTTTTGATAATCTCTTCATGATCACTTCATCTTTTATTTTGTTTCTTTTTCTTTGGTCCAACGTGAAGTATTTTTTTGTAACTTGCACTATTCCACTCGTAATTATGTTGTATACACTGGGTTGTACACAGTTCAGCTGTATGTTAGTTAGTGCCTGTATTGCCATTTTTCTTTTTGATGTTAGGAAAGCTTTTGGCGATGTTCATTAGAACAGTGTACATCACCGACAAAAGGTGTAGTGATTAATACATCACTGATCTTCAAAAATAGTGAAATGTCTAAAAAAATAACGTATAATTTCATTTCATTTAAATCATTATTTCAAATACTTCTCTTGATGCTACTAATATTTCAAAATCTTTTGCTCTTCAAGCTTTTATTCTATTTTGACCAGTGCATTATGTTTCTTTAAAGTGCACAAAAATACTTGCATATACCAATGACATGAATGCATATAATTCCAACTTATTTCATTGAATTCATAATTCAAAGATGCTGTTTTACAATCAGGGTACAAACCAGTTAAAGAGTAGAAGTTAGAGGTTTTTTTAACGGTTTCTTATTGGACCGCGAAATAAACGATCCGTTTAATCGATAGAATCTGATTAGCACCAGGATGGAGTTGACATGGACCACTATTCAATAATCAGTCCATCGTAAGTATATCTCATCACGAATAGCTAAGTGTTGCGTCTCTGTGAAGCTGGGTGACACGATCGAATTCCTCAGGGTGGATCAGTCCTCTCAAGATTACAGATACACCCTGCTAACAAGTGTCAAATGGTGCGAAACACTGCAACTTGATCAAGAATAATTTAACATATACGACACAGATCACTCAATGGTCAATTAATTTTAAGAGTTTGTTTCTTATCTAAACATTAGGTCATGTAAAACAAGTGCAACATATATCTTCTCAAAGTCTCTATCAATCCGATTTATTTTACTTCAGGTTTCGTTTAATGAGCATGGGGATAAATAAATAAAAATCATGATATATGTTTACCTTTAGAAAGCAGATAAACTTTGTGGTGTGTCATATATATTGAAACTGGTACTCAGCAGTTAAGGATGATTTTTCTTAACAAGATCTCAAAAATTATCGTTTATCATAAAACAGGTATGTAAGGAATGTGAAGGTTGTTTCAAGAGAGTAGAATAAATAATCAGTCCAGGCGATTGTAGGGAAGCGCTAACTTAGAATCCTTAAGGGAAAAGTGAAAGACCAAGGAACACATGTCAGGAATTAGAAGCAGATATCAAAAGAATAAATAGCAACTGGAGAGGATTGCCCAGGACGGAGATCAGTGGTGGGTGGCATATGCTCCTTCACAAGGAGTAGCAGGCTTAAGTAAGTGATGTAAAACTACAAATTCAACAACCTCCACAACCACTAATGTTAACAAATCATGTAAATGATTTTAAGCGATGATTTCCAGAGTTGTAGTGAGAAGCTGTGACCGGTGAATTTCAACCCTATAAAGGTAAGATAAATATCATCGTATCAAGTGGTTGTAAAACTTGACACAGTTAAATCTATACTTTAATATAAAATATAAGGTGATATTCGTCGAATCCTGTGACGATTATTAATACCACTTGATTAATTTCAATAAAGTGTGTATAAGTTGTCTGTATGTTTATAAATCTAAATCGAATTATATGTAACCAAAATTTTAGGGGTGTGAAAGTGAGTTTTGATGTACTCTTCTCTTCACTACCCTTAGACTAATCAATAACGTTATTCTAATCGTCCAATGGAAAGCATACTTTCGGATCAGTAGGTAGTGGTTTTACACCAACTCCAACTATTTCGAACAGAGGGTCCTAGAAGCTGTTTTCGAGTGTTAGATTGTTCGTAAAAGTAACCCATGGTTACGTCTTTTGACGGGAGGAAAAATAAAAAGAATATCGTTTGTTGGTTTCTGAAGCTGTCGTACTTAACCTTGTGTGTACAACTCACAAAAAGAAAATCATAGTGTCTGCATTAAGTATTACCACGTGCTAAACTTAAAATTCTGACCTCGATTGTACTTTCATTGATAGCTGTTCAGCTACCATGGATATTAACTTTCGGTTCAATAAATAATTCACTTATGCTGCATACTTCGTTTGTGTCTGTAATTGCATTACCTCAATTTACAGTCACATTTAATAAGTTCAAAGTAACATAACAAGTAATCAAACTAAGTAACTAACAATCTATTCATTTTGATAAAATCATGTCTCGTCAGCTGTTACCCAATATCGATGTTTCTCTGAAAATTTAAACAGGCGTTTGAAAAATTACCAAACAATTTGTTCAGATATGTTTCGTTATAGCCTGAAATCAAGTTTTATCCATATTCAAATTATCTGAGAAACATCACAGGTGGGCTGATCGATTGATTGTCACGACATTTTGATCATAGGATCTAAATGCTATCCATCATGTGCTTATTTGAATAATTGGTTACTTGAATCCCTGAGAATGCACTTAGAATTCCAATCTTGCCATGTACATGTATGCATTTGTTCATCGATCAATGTACTGAAATATTGTATTGAGTGCTACATATCGTTTGATATAAAATTATGTGCACAAATATAATTTCAGTTAGGTTATCTGAAATATGCAGTGATAACGATCGAGGTTGAAAGGGGATTTTAATTGCATCAGGATTCGAACAAATAACCTTTGGGCTGTTTGAAGTGGATGTCTACTTACTAATGAATGATTGGTCGTTTTTAAGTAAATTTCGTAATGGTATACTAAGAAATCATCTGTCTTAATAATTGTGTGTAAATGAATCACACTTCAGGTTGCTATGACTTTTCCAATCATCAACTAATTAGTAAGATATACATGGAAGCATTTCGATGTAAGAAATCCTCAGTGCCTTCAATATTTATCTTTCAGTAATTATAACTGTATTAGAGGGTTAGTAAAATTTTAATGGATTCGAATGAAGACCAAAACTTGGGAAACGATGGTCTGAATTGTCGTAGATATTTTTTCAGTGCAGTTCAAACTGTACTGGGATTTTCCAGGTTTTAAAAAAAGATTCTTGTGACAATATATACTCTCTACCCATACAATGTAATTAGGATGATGTAGTCTCGACTGTTGTATGCTTTGATCTCGACCAAGTTGGAATACACTGATTGGTTCATATTCAACTAGTCAATGCCAGTGCACGAATCAGTAGGTCAAATGATTCTTATGTACATTTCTATAACTTTCTTTGTTCAATCAAAATGTAAATTGTCCCCTCTTCATTTTGACTTCTCGAGTTTTGGGTGAAGCATGATATCCAAAGGATACTAGACAGTAGAGAAATTTGTTTTACAAGGAACTTGTATTAATTAGTATGTGATTGTTAGTTTCTTTCAATCAACTCTTTTGTTAACTGACATCTTGTAAGCAAATAAATATAACTAGGTACGTGTTTTATGAACGTGACAGAATGCTTCCCGACCGTTGTTGCTACCTTGACGTGGTGGTCGGGCTTGCCTATCGTGATGAAGCAACCGAGCTATACTGGCTGGAACAACCGTTCCTCAAGGTCCTACCATGTCAGACAGGTCGGTTGAAGAGCGGTAAGACTAAAAGCAACAAACCCAAGGTCCGAAGGCGAAGTCGTACTGCTGACTGTACAGAGGTGTGACAGCAGTAAGGTGTTTCCTTCAGACAACCAGCATGATAGCGATGCTGCCTTCCCACAAGGAGGGGTGGGGTTAGAAAAGGTCGATCCTAAAAATGCACACCTCACCTTACCTCACGGATTTCCGTCTCCGGCGGTAAGGCCCTTTGACGAACGGAGCTAACACATTAAAAACCTTCCACGAAAAGGCCGTGCGCGACCGGCCTCAAGCAGTTGTCCCTTGAGCACTGCGGTCACGCTCCCAGGTCACTGAGACCACCTTTAATCCAATTTCCTTTTCAGGTACCTTCAGAAGAACCGTTCCTCGGTGTGGGCAACCGGGAAGTGATAACCGCCGTCATACTTTTAACAGCACCCGAGACCACTGTATTCATAATCAACCTTCCTCTTCAATTCCTATTATTCCTCCTACATCGACTTTCAACTCTAAACATCCTCTTTCGGCTTCCTCCTTAATTGTCACCATAGTCAACGATTCTAGTGCTCAAAACTCTGTCCCAGGCCTACTGAAACCTCGCTCCAAACTACACATTGGAGCCTTCAACGTACGCGCGCCCTATGTCAAGTCGGTCAGCAGGCTTCCTTGGCTAAAACCCTAGAGTCTCTTTCCATTGATGTATGCTTTGTCTCCGAAACACGCATACAGGATTCCAGTGTGATCATTCACTTGACCTCACCTCGGCAAAACGGAGAGCCAACGAGATACACTCTCCGTGTATCTGGTGACCCGATGGCCAGTTCTCGTGGACTGGCAGGTGTAGGCATAGCACTAAACATGAGGGCGGAACAAGCACTGCTAGAGTAGATCCCCGTCAACAGTCGTCTATGTGCTGTTCGGCTAAACGGCTCCGTAAGAACTCGGAAGGATAGGGACACACGTCGTTGTCTAACATGGCGACCCCCTACACCAAACCAACGATGGACTCAAATAGACCATATTGCCATCAGTCATCGTTGGAGAGGGTCGGTAGAAGATTGTCGCTCATTCTGGAGTACCTGCTTGGACTCCGACCATGCCCTAATACGGGCACGCATCTGCTTGCGCCTCACTGGACGCAAAAAAGCCACATTAAAAAGACCCATTAGAACTGAGTTGAGTAACGAGAAAACCAAAAGTAGGTTCCAGGAACAACTGAGTTCACACTTAGGTAGTTCTGAAGACGAGGCTGACCCAGATGTTGCTTGGAAAGACATACAAGCAGCTGTGGAAACAGCAGTGACATCTATTAGCGACTTAAACCACAGAGTTACAAAGAACCAGTGGATTTCTTCAAAGTCTATCACACTGATGGATTCTCGCAAACTCGTCCCATCAGGTTCCGAACATGATGAAGAGCGACAACAAATCAGATCTAGGTTAAGAAAAAGTCTAAGAAACGACCGTGAGCAATGAAAGCAAAAGAGATGGAAAAGGCGGCGACTATAGGGAACACAAGACAGCTTTACAGACTAATAAAAGAAACTGGAATTAATAAGTCAAGTGTAAGTGAGATTATTTCGGAAAAAGACGATACTCTCATCTGCTCCCAGTCCAGACGTTTAGAACGATGGGCGGAACATTTCAGAGAACAGTTCAGCTGGCCTTCAGCTACTCTACAACTACCCTCCATTCCCAGACAGCGTGAATGGAACATTGAAGTAGGTCCCCCAACTCTTGCTGAAGTTCAAAAGGCTATAGTTAATCTGAAACGAGGAAGGGCAGCTGGTCCAGATGGATTGGCTCCAGAGGTCTTTAAGGATGGTGGTCCAATTTTAGCGATTAGGTTGACTAATATTTTAGCTAAGATCTGGGAGTTAGACGTTATCCCATCTGACTGGTCACAATCACTTATCGTCCCAATATATAAGAAAGGGTCAAAATCATCCTGTGACAACCACAGAGGGATTAGTTTAACTAATATAATATCTAAAATACTAGCCTCGATAATTATCAGACGCCTAACTAAGACTCGTGAACTGCAAACACGAGAGAACCAAGCTGGCTTTAGACCTGGTCGTGGCTGCATCGACCACATATTCACCATTCGTCAGGTTCTAGAACACAGGCATACTTATCGGCGTCCGACAATGGTGGTCTTTCTTGACTTAAAAGCAGCATTTGACTCTGTAGACCGCGAGATTCTGTGGCAGTGTCTGTCATTGAAAGGCGTACCTCAGAAGTACATAAACCTTGTGAAGGCTCTTTACTCGAACACTACTAGTCGAGTCAGAGCTTATGGCGAACTGTCATCTACTTTTGCAACCTCAAGTGGTGTCCGTCAAGGCTGTCCACTTTCCCATTTTTGTTTAACTTCATCATAGATCTACTGATGGAAATAACTTCTCGTCGACTGAATTCTCGGGTATTGATCTCCATCCAGGAGGTCCACTTATCGACTTAGAATACGCAGATGACATAGTCCTGTTTGGTGAAGACGCTGACAAAATGCAGAGTCTTCTGGTAGCACTAAGCAACAATGCCAGAATGTTTGGAATGCGCTTCTCTCCCTCTAAATGCAAGTTGTTGCTTCAGGACTGGTCTGCGTCAACACCTGAACTAAGGATAGGGAGTGAAGTAGTCGAACGCGTTGACAACTTCACTTATCTTGGAAGTCTGATCAGCCCTAATGGGTTGGTGTCTGACGAAATCTCAGCACGGATTCGAAAAGCTCGTTTGGCTTTTGCCAACTTACGTCACCTTGGCGAAGGCGAGATATCCGTCTATCAATAAAAGGACGAGTATACTGCGCGGCAGTCCGTTCTGTTTTAATTTACGGCAGCGAAACATGGCCATTAAGAGTAGAAGACACTCGTAAGCTACTAGTATTTGACCACAGATGCCTTAGAAATATTGCTGGCGTCTGCTGGGATCACCGGGTAAGTAATAGTGAGGTTAGACGCAGGGTATTAGGGAATGATGGTAAATCAGTTGATGAGGTTATGAATCTTCATCGACTGAGATGGTTGGGCCACGTGTTACGTATGCCTGAACACCGATTACCACGACGTGCAATGCTATCCGGTATTGGAGATGGTTGGAAGAAAGTTAGGGGCGGCCAAACCAAAACGTGGCATCAGTGCTTGAAGTCACTAACTTCTAGTCTGAGCCATGTTGGTAGATGCAGACTACTTGGTTGGGGTCCGCGTGACTATCGTAACCAATGGTTGGAGACTCTTGGTGACATGGCTCAGAATCGATCACAATGGCGTCGGTGTATACACTCCCTGTCTTCCCTTAAACTAAGAGATTAAAATCACTTCATATCTTTCTTTCTACGAACCAATTCTTTCTTCTTGTACTATATTTCTATATGCAATCTTTCTCTTATATGTTACCACCTTTGACTATGAATCCGGTGTTCATCTTTTTGTGCTGATGCGGTATGGCAACCTGGACCGATGCACATATGTGCCTGGTCCTACGTTATAGCTGACTGACTGCTTACAAATTCTCATGAGTTAATTCATTAATGGTAGTTATCGCGCTGTTTTAGATCACTGCATGGCTTATAAAATGTTAATAAAGAATAATGATTTCTGTATGCGATAATCTATTGCTCTCATGCTTCTCTTCGTTCACTTAATAGTCACTAATTATCATATTATCTCAGCTTATTATATTTACCTCTAACTTATTGAACTGCAAGCCAGGAGTTGTAATTCTTTCCCGTAACTTGATATTAAATGGTATGTGAAAATGCTGTGAGCTTTGCTAGAATCGTTATTAGTAAGTGTGAATACAGACCACATTATACAAAATAATATTAAATTAACTCGTATTCCATTAGTAACTAGGATATGTTTACTCTGAAATACTTGTGGATGTATTACCATGTAATTATTATCAGTATTGCTACTGAAATATATGATCAGTAAGCTGTTTTAATGTCTTATGTGCTCACCTGTATTTTAAGGTCATTTGAGTGGTATATAACCAATATTGACGATATCACTGCGCTCTGTCGCATTATATCCAAATACCCGGAAGTATTAGGACTCGGTCTGTATGGCTTTACCATACCTTTGGACGTAAATGTTAGCAATAATTACTTAATATAGTCCTGTTGGTAGTATCTCCTAGTCTTAATCACCATATCAATTAATCTGGTTGAGATTAATCGTCTGTGAGTAACACAAGTAGATGATGTGGTTGACATGGTTCTAGGTTGTAATGAAGTAATCAAAGGTATATCCACTTGAATAGTGTGCTTTGGTTATTATTAATGGTCTATAACTTTTGTTTTTTAAGCTCCATGGAGGGATTATCACAACGTTTATTGCTTTTCGTAGTACGTTTTTATTAAGTCTCCAATTTGCTAATCCGTATATAGTAAAACACGTTTCAGATAATCAATTATTTAGGAATTTACTACTAAAGTTACCAGTCACTTACCAAAGTGTCTTAACTTTCAGTTTAGATATGTCGGCAGATAATAACATCTGGCTGAGAGACTGGGGGTTAGATGATAAACAAATGTAGATTTCTTTCAACTAATTTAGTCTTAATGAACAAAACGAATCTTACATAATTTTGAGAACTTATTGGCAATAAGAATATTTGGAATATTCCCATATTGTAAATTTAGAACAGCATATATAAGAATAGTGATGAAAAGGAAGAGTCAATTAACTAATTTCATAAAACTAAAGAGAATACTTATCCCACGCATCCATGATTCGTCACAATCTATTATAATAGGGGCATCTTGATCTATGGTTTTAATAATTCAGATCTCACACTTGTTTGATGAGGTAGTGAATCTTCATCGATTGAAGTGGGTTGGACATGTATCGTGTATTCTCAAACACCACCTCAATAGACGACGTTAACTGAAAGTTCGAAGCAACCAAAACAAAACGTATCATCACCTCATGAACTCACTGACTGTTAGATTAAGCCGTGTAGGTGCAAACTAGCTGGTTGGAGTCTGGGCAATTATCTTTGACAGTGGTTGAAAACGTCGGATAACACAGTTCAGAATTGGTAATTATGGTACAGACCCATTTACTCTGTATTCCCCTCGATCCTAGGTTCCGAAATGATCCTATACTTTTTATTCCAACAGTTTACTCTTTTGGAGTCACATGGTATATCTTTAGTCTTTCTTATTATTACTAATACTATTAATACACTGGGGTTTGCGCGGACTATTTCATCCCGATAATCTAATATGATGTGGTAACTTGAACTAATAAACGTATATGCCAGGTTTTACTTCCCATTTAACTAACTGACTGATAGTTCTAAAATTGATGTAACAAACTAAGACTTACTTCAATATTTCCGAAAAGAGCCCTTCTCAAGACAAGATTGGAGTTGAAAAAAGCTTTGTTCCAACAATTGTATTATATATTAATAACCTAGTCAGTCAATAAATAGGCAAGTGATTAGTCAGAGAAATTAAATCATTACACATATTACACCAACCATATACACAGATTTCTGACAGAAAAGCAAAACCCAACAGGCATTGTTGAAAAACTTGCAAAAAGTGAGAAGGTAGGCAGGTCTATAAACAAAGAAAACTTAATCTCCAAGAAAAAAATAATTGCCGCTCCTTTTCTGTTCAACATCTTTGACCGAATTCAATTTGTTAATTCTTGGTCTAGCATTGGTTGGATCGCGTCGAAATGTTATATCAAGTGATTGTAAAAATTTATTCATACCAGTAACTAAATTTTGTGGACTATAATCAAAGTGAAAAAAAATGTAGAAATTAGAGTACATCATGTGATAGAGGTTTTTATAGAAGTAAATCATTGTATTCCATTTTTTGGTGGGATTGTCGAGCACTCATACACAATTAAGTATTCAATTAATAAATAATACTGTTTAAAATGAAAGCCCCATTCTATATACTATCGGTTATATCTTGATACAAAAAATGAACTTCACAAAAGGGATGAAACATACATTGGTACATTTTAATGTCAACAATGAACAATAATTGTATTCCGTTTGAGTGTGTATGTGTGTGATTACTTGATTGATTTTCGAAGTTATTCAGATATTAAGTTGGATTCGATGTAAGGTAGTTTATGAACACAATTTTAAATTTAGTATAGATATTTGGTTTGCATTGAAATAGAAATTATTTAATAATAGTAGGTAGTGAAATATGAATAATCGTCAGAAGATAGCTGTAGATTACTAATTAAGAGCTAAGATTATCGAATTGCATGTTAAGCCTCGCGAAAGTGCTCCAACAGAAATCATGGAATCTTGCACAGATGTACGTCACCTCAAATTGTTACACCATATTAGCACGAGATGAAATTAACAAGATGAATAGTAAAGAAGTCGAAATAACCGTAGTTGCAATTATAATGAAGGGAAAACTTCGAGAATGTGATATAAAAAAGACAGAATGAAGGGATAATGCGACTCAAAATCTACACGATAAAAAGGTATATGTATCTACGCTATGTCAGCCATCGTCTTCAAACACTGATCGTAGTTAATGAGTGAACTTGAATCAAATAGTTTTCACCTATCAACATGAGTCAAAACAACAGTCAATGACTATGGACTAGTGGTATTTTTTGGTTTGTCAGAATGGTTTTCTTCTAGCTTAACTCCTACACCAGTTAACATTGCCCGTCGAGGTAGGCGATAACTGAAAATAAGTGTCCTGGCTAACTCAGTCGATAAAAATATGCAGTCTCAAGTGTTAACCTTATCAATGTATTCGATGAGATTGGATTAGCAAAAAAACATCTAGCATGACATAAGAAATACGCTTTTTAACGTATTATTCATCATATGTTTAAAAGTTAAACAATGAAGGTCAGTTTGCAGACAATTTTAGGGGAACGTATTTTCAACCCAAATATCTGAAAATTGCGAACCTACATACTTCATTTTGGGTAACTGGGTCGCGTAGTACCGAATAGTCAACATTAATAATCAATTTATGTTTGCCTTAATCCCGAACACGAAATAATTGAGCTTGGTAAATTATGAGTTGCCAAATACAATGATGCATTTAACAATTTGAAGAATGAATTAATTTTGTATCGTTTTCTGCTGGAGACACACATGTTAGATGTGAATAAGTCGAAAAGATTACAATTTTCAGAACTATTCTACAGCAAAATATCTTATATATTTTTATGTAATTACTAAATATTTTCTTTATGATACTTTTATATTGCCCAAATTGTAAGTTTTTATATAATCATTGACTGATGATATGTCCCTTTTATAGTTAATGAATTATATACTTATCAACCAGTTTTATATCACAAATGATCTAGTTTTTTTAAATGAGTTGTGCTCGTGTTTGAGTTATAAAATATACAGAGTAGGTCGGTAAGCTTTTATTGTGTTTTGATTGAGCAAGTTGGGGGGGGCAGAATGATGTTGCGTGGGCTACTAATCAGTGTCAGCACACTTAGTGGGCATATGAGTTAAATAAAGGTCATTAATGTTATTTGGTGTACGCGGACTCGATAATTCAGTAGTCCAATTAAATGGATTTACAAAAACGTTGAATTCGTAACATCTCATGCAGAAATATCTTTAGAGAGAAAAAAAACTAACAACCATCGAATACACTCACGTTGTTGCTGTAGCCTTAACACCAGGTTGACCGTCAAATACAACAACTCGATCGGCTAAGTATGTTGCCATGATAAAATCATGTTCTACAACAAAAGCTGTCTTTTTAGCATGCAGTATAAATCGTTTAATAACTTTTGCAGCATGTAAACGCTGTTCCGAATCTAAATAAGCTGATGGCTCATCAATTAGATAGACATCAGCTGGTTGGCCAAGGCACAATGTAATAGCTAATCGTTGCAATTCACCACCAGATAAGTTCATTACCTTGAAAAGAAACACAACAATAAATGTATGGGATTAAGAGGACTAGAGATAATCCGCACAGGATGCAAAGATATCTAAAGAGACTGATCAATTGCAGTCATAAACATCAATGGGAAGATTCAAACAACTAACACAAACCACTTAAAATTCAGCTCATTGCACAAGCCAGTGCCTATCTGGACTCAGTAGCTAAGTGGATAATTCGTTGGTGTTTAAAGTGAATTCCGAAATAAACATCACCTCTAGGATGCAGGTGTATCTAATTGATGAATCCCAATCAGGACGGAACGTGCGTCCTGCATCCCACTGCTAGATACAACCTGTCACCGTTTAAACAAGATTAGTTGATTTGTAGACAACAAACTTTTGAAATTAATTGGTAATTTCTAATTTATACATTCAATCCACAGCGTTGTCTTTTGTTTAAGGAAAGCCTTTGATTAACAGTCTTACATGACCATAGGATAAAGAGTACGTGGTTCGGAGGATTTCGAGAATAAAACATTTTAATACTTATTGTTTGAAGCTGACTGGTTTTGAATGTCAGTTTTAAACAAAAAAACGAGACAATATTATGATAAGTTAAAAACTAAGTTGATGTAATTCACCTATCGACTAGAAAGACCTTATTGTCTCTCATAGATTACTAAATAATGGAGGGATATTATTTTTTCATACATTACAGAATGAAACCACTTAGAGAACTATTAAAAATCGGGAAGCAATAAATAGCTGTTCTGTCACTGTTTTAGACCTCATGAAGTATGTATTCATGATCTCATCTGAGGTTGGACCTGAGACATTCAGCGCTTGCGGAGAGGTCTTAAACTTTTGACCACCCAGTTAAGGATTAATGGTTTACAATTGACAACGTTACTTAATTGGTGATACTACGTCACTACTATCGTCTGTTAACGATTATATTTGTCTAACCCTTAATAAGGTTGAAATTCACCGGTCACAGCTTCTCACTAGAACTCTGAGAATTATCGCTTAAAATCATTTGCGTGAAGACTTTTAACATCAGTGGTTGTGGAGGTTGTCGAATTTGTAGTTCTACATCACTACCGGACTTTATTTAGAGAACCAGAAAACATTGGACACCTTCTTCCCAGTATTGAAGAGCCTAAAGCTATCCAACGTTTCTTGGTTTTCAGAGCTCCTCTGGGTACGGTCAGTAACAGTCAGTGATGTAAGACCACAATTCAACAGTTTACACAATACCCTATATTCACAAATATTGTTCTACTAAATATAACCAGTACTTTTCATACTCGAATAGACCAGAACAGATGTTTAGATATATTTAAATCGCTATGAATTAAAAAAGTGGGCTAAGAAAATTAAAAAAGTCGATATTAGTGAAAAGCCTGATTGGATGGGTTACTTTTTCTATCTAGCACTTTAGATGTTTAGTGTAAATTAGACTTATTTAAATAGTGGTCATTCAGAAAACTGTTCAGTAATCTAAGCCTAAAAATAGCATCATAAGCTTAGATGACCTTGCACGTGAACACAGATTTGAGGAACCGTTATTATTACAAGTAATATGTATGACTGGAATTTTCTCCGAATAAAAGATTATAATATCGGATTTATATGCAAACACACCATTTCATGTATGATACTGTTTACATTCTGATATAACATTGAGGTGTGATTGGTCACTGAGTAAAAGACGGACAGCTGCTTACCCTGTAATCTATCAAATAAATCACTACCTTTTCATTGTAACTGTTCAGATTTCACACTAACTGGTTGCTCTAGAGTTTGTGTAAATAAATATGATTCTGATCTAATATTTTGTTCTGAACTATAGGTCGGACATTATGTATATGTATACCACGTGATCTAATACAGTAGTGGTGTAATTATCTAGTATATCGATAGAGTCCCCAAGCTTCTACTAAGTGTATTAAGATGTATTATGGTCTAGAGTGCATAGTCGTACTATTCAGCCTAGTGTTATTGTATAAACTATATTGTATTACCTACCTTATTTGGTATCGGACAATAATTCTTTATTGGTTTTGCCGTCACAACACAATCCTGATAATTTTTTCAAGTCGATTTTATACTTAGAAGTTTTGGTATAAAAGAAGGAATATGTTGTAAAGAGTGAATCAATTTAGTAACTTTAAACTTACAAGTACGACTAATTCATTGAAACAAATGATTTACTATCTATTTGACATTTGGTACTAACCTCGTTGGTTCTAACAAATTTAACGAAATGAAGGAGCACGGCTAAGGCTTCATGCTATTTATTCGTACGTAAAAGTTCATATGAAAAGATTCGTATATCCATTTGATAGCGTAATACTCGCCCATCTATTTACATAAACAAACATACCATTTTTGTTTCACTAATGTCATAGTAAGTAACATCTAAGTACGTTTTGTAAAACTCGGTATTAGTGTAGTGAAACTCTGTCACATAAAGTTGCTTATTCTACTACTTAGTTATCTCTATGAAAAAGAAAATACAATCGGTACATATTAGTATGTCATGTTGAAATACAATGTAGAAACTTATCACTTACTTGCTGATCATAAAGTCGTTCCATTTGTAATGGCTTAAGCACATCTGTTGAAAATTGTGGATGTGTAAATGAATCACGGATTTTTTCCAAAAGTAAATTTGAACTGTTTTCTCTGATTTTGGACTAATTTTTTGCGGTTTATATGATACATGTAAAACTGGACACTTTTCATCACCATCAGGTTTCAGATTACCAGCCAACATGCGAATAAATGTAGTTTTACCAGTGCCATTCTCACCAAGCATTACAATGATTTCAGAATCAGTAAATGATCCAGCCTCCACTGTCAACTCGAATGAACCCAAGCTTTTATACATGGTTGGATAATCGTAACGAGCTGTACGTTTTAATTCTTCTTCGTTACCGGTTTCGGACACCTTGAAAATTTAAAAAAAATAACACGAATTATTTCAAAGTTTGTTAAATAGAGAAATAATACAACTAGCACACCTAAATTACGGTAATTTTCTGATGTGACATATTGCAACACTACTTAGAAGTAGTAAACTTTTTGTGAAGAGTATTTTTGAACATCTACAGTGAATTACACTTTATGTTCACATTCATTGTTATGAACTTTATTTTGACCTATAGACTATTATAATACGATTTACTATTATTAGGTTATGTCAAGTTTTTTATTTATAGTCTCCCACGTTCACAGTCACTTTTTAGCTTGATCTTGTACAAATGTTATTTACTATTTTAGGGTGTGATGTGGTCTGTTTGACTTGTATATAAGCCAGATATGTTTGAAATAAATGATTCATATGGCGGAAGCTGATATCGGTGTTCTGAACTCAACTGGCAGGACTAGAAGGAAAAAGGACCAATAAGGACGCTAGGCTGCTCATACCGGCCGATACATGTTTGGTATGGCAGTTCTACAATTGTATAGGTCGTATTTCGATTGGCGACTAAGTCATGTGAGATTAGACCGGCCAAAAGTCACAACCAGTAACCTATGTTTGAACACTACTGGAATGATTTCGATTCCGAAAGCTAGTTGATTATAGCGGTACAAAGTAGGATGTATTTTGGTCGTGGCAGAAGAAACATTTTATACCGAAAATAACTAATAAAGAGACCAAGACCCAACTAGCACACGTACTTACCATCACTGTATATAAATAAGATATTTTCAGGCATGAGGATAGATTTTCGAACCCCGATGAAGAAACGATATTTGAGACTCACAAACTTTCTTTTTCAACTACAACTAATGGTAGGTACGGAACAAGTGAAGTAAGACCGAATTTTTCTAGACACTAAAGTTTTTGGTATACTTATGAAAGTGTAGTATAAGGTGCTAGACAAGCATAATCCAAGTTAACCGACTTAGCTAAGAAATATAGATTTTAAGTAGACGTAGCCTGTATACCACGATTCAGAGATGATCGCATCATCAAGTGTAACACTTGTGTAGTAATCCACTAGGATTTCATAACCTTCAACATGCACTCGCAGTACATTGATACGTTATTAAGTATATGACGTTTCGCTCCATCAGCAAGGAAAGAAGTGTTATGAGATTAGTCTAAACATATGCTTGCTTTCACATCTGGTAATTAAGTTCTAAAAGTACCCCAACAGTTCGAATATGAATAGTCTTGAGTGCTGGTAAGGTGAGTGAACAACAAGCATCATGCTAGACGGAGAATGAAATTTTTTAAAATCTTCTACTGTATAGATGTGTACAGAATTACGTCTAACGAGTCGATCGAAACAGACTTAAAATTAGAAATAAGTCACTGAAGGGATTAGATACAGAATAATGTCCCAAACTACAGTGACAACGGAACGGTTTTAAAGATAAATCAAAAAACAACAGCCGAAGTTTAATAAACATCCAAATAAACCATCAAATAAGATGTCTTAAACAGAAAAAACCATACCTTGAAAACCAGTGGTGTTTCTCGAAAACGCAAATTTTCCGTAGGGACCACACCATCCAAAAATATATTTATTCCTTCACGAACGGAAAAAGGCATAGTGACTACCCCATAAGCACCTGGGACACCATAAAGACAGCATATGAAGTCAGACAAGTAATCCAAAACAGATAAATCATGCTCCACAACAATAACATAATTTGTACCCTTTCGAAATATAAGGTCAAAAACATTATGAAATGAAGTTACAAACCTCCAGTAGTTCACGTATAGCTATAGCTGTTTTTAAACGCTGCTTGACATCCAGGTAAGAACTAGGCTCATCAAACATATATATATCAGCTTTTTGAACACAAACCATTCCACAAGCAAATCTTTGAAGTTCACCACCAGATAAATCGCCTACCATACGTTCAGTGACTACTTGAAGATCTAGTTTTATAATATACTAGATTAGTCATCCGAGAATAAGTTTTCTTACCAAGCATTTCTAAAACGTGATCTTGGTTGCCTCTATCGTCCTTTCGATTAAGTAAGGTTTTAACCTCACCAGATACGATTTTAGGGATTTGATCAACATATTGTGGCTTAATAACAGCTTTCAAATTGTCCTCTAAGATTTTTGTGAAATAATTCTGTAGTTCCGAACCACGGAAATATGTTAATATTTCAGTCCAATCCGGTGGATTCTAAAGAGTAAGAAAAAAAAGACAAATATGGCGAGACTCTAATTTAGGGACGAGCCAATCAGAAGCGTTTGAGCGATTTCAAGGTCACGGAGCCAAGTTAAACACGCGATGCTAACATACGATCGGTTTACAGCGGATTTTAGAGAATAGGTGATTAATGAGAGGTTACAACAGATGGGACGGCGAGACTGTAATTCAGGGATGAGCCAATCAGAAGCGTTTGAGCAATTTCAGTTATTAGCCAATCAGAAGACAGCATAAAGTAAAAATATATTAAAAGAAAGTAATGAATTACAGTGGGTATTCTTCTTTTACATGATTTAAAAACTCATATGTTAGCATCCTAACCCTAAACCCTAACCGTATGTTAGCACCCTAATCCTAAACCCTAACCTAACCCTAAACCTTAACCTTAACCCTAACCTAACCTTAACCCAATGGACGAGTTTGTATTCCATATGCATTGTGAATTCAGAACCTCTGAACCTTAACCAAACCTTAACAAGTTTTTAGATCATGTAAAAGAAGAATATCCACTGTAATTCATTACTTTCACATAATATATTTTCACTTTATACTAACTTTCTTCTGATTGGCTAATAATTGCCAAGGTCACTTAAGATTCGTTCAAAGGTCGTCCTTAAATTAGAGTCTCTCCACAAATATATCCGAGTGAACGAATGGCAATAAGCATCATGGTGTTCACTTATAGCAGCGATAAACAGATGCATAAAACGACAGACGTCGGACTTCTCATGATGTTTACATTTATGACTTGACATTGAAACATAAACGGAAACTTATTTTTAATAGAAAACAACACAAGTAAAATATTTCACGGAATTTACTTTATCTGATTACAGTTCAATTTATTCACTTAAACTTCTCTAAAGGTTCTGCAAAGTTCCGTAAAATTACAGTACACTCTTTGATTACTGAAAATAGATTAGTGCAAATAAAAACACCTATACACCATAATTATATACAACAGATTCTAGGGAAGAATTCTTTATTATTCGAGGATCAACGGTGATGGTGTAATAAAATAACATGACTTAGTAATAAAAGTCAGTTGGTGTTGGTATGTTAAACAAACGGAAGTAAAACAAAATGAAGTACCAAGTGAGTGTGTGATATAAATGGATAGGAAACACATAGACGATTGTCTCCAAAATCCCCAAGACAATGAATAAATTTGCCTAACGGTTATTCGTGTCGTTTTTGATCTGTAACTATTGGTTTTAAATATTTAACGCACCCTAGTAGAGACGCTTGGGATTTCATAGACGACTGAAATCGACAGTGAGCTTGAGTACTGGTGACTTGAATTGGTTGGAAAATTTATTTAACTCAATAAAATGCTACTTAGACGGGGTACCAAGATGTCTTCATAAATCAGTCACTTAAAAAGTGAACATGCCTAATTGATCATGATCATGCGCGTAAGTAACGATGAGACCTTTATTTAACAATTGCTTGCAACTTTGATGGATAGACGGATTTTTCAATGGGTAGTGATAAAGGTGGTCAGTCAAATATCATTAACTAATTGGAAATTTGTGGAACTATCAGGGAACATAGCAGAATATTATGCAGAAAATCTATAAGTCTGACTTAGTACTATAAACTCGTAAAAATATAAGCATGTAGTTGTGAAGTAAACATTCAGAAATTTGCTCCACAGATCCTACAACAAATAAAAACTTATGGTTTAGTTAGTTCCAGATTTTTCTTAATTTGAAGAATGTCTTTTATGATTTCGTAGCTACTCGTTGCGATGTTAATAAGGATTGGGTACGAAATTCTTTAAAAAACCAATTCACAGATTGGATACGTATACATATGTTTTTTTCAAGAATTAGGTAGAGCCAGTTATATTGTTTGCTTGCCAATGGTGGAGATAAAATGGAGATTTACTTTGCAACCAAATGGTTAAAAAACGTAACCCTGTTAAGCAGATGAATTTTTTCAGGGTTACTTGAGCATCACTCAAAGGTATTCCATATATTATAGTGTCATCGAGAAATGTTTACAATTCACCGTAGGTTCAAATGAGCATATGAACAGGAAAGACATAAGCATCATCAATCATATTGACCAGATTATCAAAAACCAAACTAGCTTATAAAGTTAGGCTAAAAATTTACATGGTGGATTATGATGTAAGGCAACTACGAAAAACACTCCTAACGCGAGTAATGAATTGAGTAATAAAGTTATCGCCTTAGTCGTTTCGTTCACTTAATAGGGCAGATTGATACCAAAAACCAAATTACAGACCAACTATATGACGAAAAACCAATAATGATGAAGTGTAAAGTTCATTAACAAACCTTGAACCGGCCAAGATTGGGTTTAAGTTTACCGGCAAGTATCTTTAAAGCACTGGACTTTCCGATACCGTTGGTTCCAACTAATCCCAGAACCTCACCAGGGCGCGGCATAGGCAGACGATGTAGCTTAAATGAGTTCGGACCATAACGATGGGTAACCTCCTTTTCCAAATTACTAGGAAGATTTATAATAGAGATGGCTTCAAAAGGGCATTTTTTGCTACAAATACCGCACCCGATGCACAATTCTTCTGATAAAAATGCGATTTTGTCGTTTGGTGTGACCTCAATGCACAGTTTACCTTCAAGAATTACATTACCACAACAATCGTTTACCCATGCGCACAACAGGACATGATCTTTTACACTCTTGACGACACTTTTTCGGTTTGCATTTGTCACTGCTGACGATGGCGATACGTGTTAGCTTTTCTTGAGTTGGGGGTTGTGTCATGCTTGGGACGTAAACACGCCCTTGACGAATCCCAGAAATTCAAACTACGCAGATTAAAAATAAGTCAAGTGATTCTGAACAGAATAGAAGAAAATATAGCTTAACGGGCTTCCGTATATAGTAGCATTGAAACACCGATGCCTCCAGGAAGCAACCTAAGTACATTAACGATAGAATGTATGTGTCCCTTATTCGTTTGAATTGCCTGTATGCTCTGTTGTTACCAGTTCGTCTGTATTCCGCACAGTAATGCCTTTCGCAACTTCAGCAGATGCATCAAGATTGATGTATTTCCAAGGAAGATCGCATGTACATAGCTATTACGCATCTGTTCCTGTTTTTCTGTCGTTGTGAAATAAAGATATCCTGAGTATTGCTAGCTCCCGGTCCATAAATTGAGAAAATATTCATGTTTCAGATATTCCCGTAGGATGAATATCATTAGTATTACTGAGTTCATGCAGCTCATCCATTTTATTTGGTAAATTCTCGGCGTTTATGTTTAACTAATTTATGCTTCAGTTCAAAACTCATGAGGTTCCCCATCCTGTTTACCTGTTTGGGCCTTATATGAATTGACAGGTACCTTATCTACACAAGGTTTTCCGAGTTGGTAGTCCCTGTTCCTTCTACGTTTTCTTTCATGATCTTAGCAGTTTACAAGTGGAATGGTCAGCTTCAATTTGCTTCTGTGATTGATCCTACCATCTTATGGCCTATCCGGATGTATGTGGATTGTAGTTGGCAACTAGCGTCCGTTGTCACGAAATGCTTCGATAGTTTCAATCGTTAGAGAGGAGGATGTAAAGGTTATCTTCACCAGTTAAGGTCTAGAATCCCTGTCCTTCTTGGCTAGCTTCATCACTTATTGAGTCAATATGTTTTTGAGCCTCAAGGATTGCTTGATGAATTTCCATTCTCGAATATCAGAGTCTATGTGGTCAGGGTTCGTGTTTTCTGACACACCTTGCACCATGATATTTCTTCTGTGAAAAGATGTCTGGCGAGATTCCTTATGAATGTTTCCGACGCGAATACACCCAGAATACGGCAGTTCAGGCAGCAGAATATGAAAAAGAAAGGACGAGAGTCAGAGCAGACAATGTTCGTGACTATTGAATTCGAGTCATTTGTGGCGGAATAGTGTGGTGCTTGAATGAACTAATGACACCTTTGTAATTAGTGAATGCACGATTTCAAATTCTAGATACAGTACACTCGCTTGTGTTTGTGTCTTACTTGTTAATTCAATTGCGTTATTTCTGGGAATCTTAGTTCGTGCTATTATTCAAATAATTCGAAACATTATACTGGCGTCGCGATGGAACCTACAATGGAAAAGTTAGATATTCATTCAACTTTGGAAGCTTTTAAAGATTACTGTGAAAGGTTCGAAATCTGGGCTATGACCAAGGAAGATCATGAGGATGTTAATATTGTGGCACGCTTCCTCACATTCATTGGAAAAGAAGCATACAGCTTATTAAGAACCTTGGCTATGCCGGAAAAGCCCATTCCGCTTCCTTATACAGCTCTCAAGGAACTGCTGCTAGACTATGTTCAGTATACAAATTTCGAATGTCGTAAAGGAGGAAGATTTCGTAAAATGATTCGTAAGGATATAAAAAATTTCACTACATTACGTCATCCCAACCCAGTTCATACTCAAGATTATGCAGACAATTCATTGAGGAGTTGCAATGCATTTCACGAAGATGAGCACAAGTTTAGTCAGTGTTTGTCCTGTGGCAAGTTCCACTCTTTCAATTCATGTAAATTTCGTAATTCTAAGTGCTTTAAATGTGGTGATATTAGACATTCAGTCAGTCCGTAATACTAATGTTCATCTTATTGCAACTAATATTCAGTCTTGTAATTCTGATTCTACTAGGTCGAGTATTTATAATGATGATCTATCTTTATCAACGATGGCAATAGACAGTGTGGAGTTACAAAGCAGTTCAGAGTTAAATGAAACTCAGAATTTGTGCGAAACAACAGTTTCTAACCGATTGATTTATCAGATTTCTCATGTTATTGTACCAGATATGGTTTTTCTTAATGATTCACTTATTTCTGACGAATTTCTTTGCAAAGCTGAGGAAAATATGCTGAGTGAACATAATAATGTTCGAAAACCTGATGTAGTTTTGATAGATGCTAATTTTTCTAATGATCCTTTACTCTGCAATGACATTCTTAATGGATTCGAGGAAACTATTTCAGAAGAGTCAAGTCTTGATGTGATACCAAATATTTTTTGTCCTCATCATGCAATTATTTCTTGTGGGAAACTTGTTCAATGCGAAGCACGAGTATTAAATGAGCTTCACTTTGATTACAATTCAGATTATTTCATATCAACTGCTGTTCATCCTTATCACAAATCCACTTCCAATGTATACTCTAATCAATGTGAGAAATATGTTTTAAACGAAGCCACATTATTCATAACTTGGGGACATAAAGATCCAACATTATTTCGTGGGGGAGGATAGTGTTCAAATTCTAGATATTAATGATTTCAGTGTAAAACCTACATGCTTATTGTATACAATTCCAGGTCAGTCTGTTCCGATCTCGTTTGTTAACTCTAATACTAATGAGCACATTCTAGATACTACAAAGTTTTTATCCAATACAATGTCGGACAGACTCAGAATGAACTTAAGAAGAAGACGTAAAACCGATGGCAAACACTTTTACTCCTATTCAAGCTGTGGCGGATGTGGTGTTTGAATGAACTAATGACACCTTTGTAATTATTGAGTGCACGATTTCAAATTCCAGATACAGTACATTCGCTTGTGCTTGTGTCTTACTTCTTAATTCAATTGCGTTATCTCTGGGACTCTTAGTTCATACTACAATTCAAATAATTCAAATATTATAAATAGTTACTGTATGACTACTTAGTCTGATTCTCTATTATTAAGGTACTTTTTAAGCAGAAGCATTTTAAAAGGTTAAAGAAAACAAGCGTAAATATAGCATGAATGATAAAAAAACGGTATATATGGAGTTTTGTCAAAACGAAGCAGGAAGTAATAGGTAACGCCTAGTTATAAAATATGGTACTAAAAACAGTATTCTGATACACAAATGGCTATCTCCACATTTTGTTGAAGCAATTTAAGCTCGTTTTTATTTTTATAGATTTTAAAATGTCATGAGTAGGCTTCATTTCCAGCGAATTTTCTAGTTCTGCTTGTAATAGAGTTAATCTGCAGGAAGAAAAGGAAATCCGACGTCACAAACATGATTTAAGAAGGTATTTATAATGCGAATTTAGATACGTTAACATCAATACCGTTAGTTTGGGACATCGCACTTGACAATAAGTGATCATAATTCATCAAAATATTTTGGGTCCCAAACCAGGTAGTCTACACCTACCAACATGACTCAGTCCACTTGTCAGTGACTTCATGGACTTGTGCCATATTTTGGTCTGGCCGCCCCCTAATAAGAACATATGAGTCTGCTGGAAGTGCACATGGATCTGCGTCTCTTGTTATTTCTCGTCAGATTTTTTACGTCATCAGCGTATGGTAGCATCGGGGACTCATCTATACTTGAGAGTTCATTTACATACAGTATAAAAGGTAAAGGACCTAGGACAGTCTTGTGGTACTCTACTAAATGCTGGTTTCCGGGTGGAGCAATTGAAATTCATTCTTACTTTCTGTCTACGGCCTATCAAGAAACTTTAACCCACTTTAGAGATCCAGCGATCCCTAGATTTTGATGACCCTGCTTCTTAGTTCTAAATTATGGACGGTGCATGAACATCAACTACTACGTGGCTTTTACACCTGCTCGACCAAGATTTATGCTTGCTTAGGAGTAAGTCATCCGCCAATCATTCTGAATTGCGTTATGCTACAAATAATTCAACTTCTTGCTGTTTTCATTCAGGCCTTCAACCCACCAGTTCACATGTTCCTGAGTCGTGTGCCACTGTCTCGACAGCTCGTATGGTTAAAGTACCTTTCGTGCACATGATGGTCCCACCATCGTTAGGGTTTAACTTGTCAGCCCTACTATGCAAGAAACCAGGCGACTGGATATTACTGTCATACACCTCTGACTCTAACCATGTTTCTGAGATGGCACTGACGTCAGGGTTTTCATTGTCCACTATGTTCTTGAGCTCCACCATGTTATTTTGTAGACTGCGAGCATTTGTACACCACATCTTTAATTTCATGAAGAACTTTTCCATACTGCCGAAAGTGGTTTGGAGTCGTTTCGCTCTGAACTTTTACAATGTGCAAACCCTTAGGCATAAAGTTTATTCACCGTCTCGGCGGCGCTCATTTATTTATGCTTCTACCGATCGTCTCTAAATACGATCAACCTGTCTGAGACCTTTACGGACATATACTCTGTATCAAGTCAGTTTGCGTGTGCTTCCTAGAACCTCGATAGAGTTCTATCCTTCTAGTGGTTCCATCGTTCCGACCATCATTCGATTAGAGGTTCCACATAGGTAAACATCTGACCATATAAGTTCCATTAATCTTTATGGGTCTGTTAACGTCCAAATAACATATGATTGAATTCACCTTCAAACATTTATAGGCAATGTGAGATGCACAGTCATTATTTTTACCAATGCTTCTTTACTTTTGAGGATCATTTGGTCAGTTATTTCTTCCCATGTGGGAGGAAGTGTCAGAACCGCTGTCTAGAAGGGTGAAGGTTTCCAAGCAATTTCAGGACTAGTTAGCTTGACCGGAACAATTACCGAACAAACCTCCGTAGAATTCAAATCTCTTGCCAAATTGATTACACGGTTATTATCACTAGTGATGTCATTGCTGAGTGAAGTTGGATCTTGGAGTTCTTGACATCACACTACATCAGAGAATTACATGACCTGGCTATGTAACCCTTTCGCAAACAATGACAACACAGACTACGACTTTTTGCTTCCCGTTTTTCCCTATGAGATTAATTTTTGGCAACCCCGTACAATTGGTAGCTTCGTAACCACTGTTTTACGATTCGCTTCTTACAAACTTAGTTAAGTTGCTTACTGTTACGTCCAAATTTTGCTCTAGTCCATTTTTGAAACATGGCCGATTAATTCATTCATGACTTACGACTTCAAATAACAGAACCAAATTCCTATTCAGGTGTCAAAGTTTATTCGTAGATAAAAAATAATCAACCCATAAATATC